GTTAGTTTATTAATATTATATATTATTTTATTATATATTATATTTATTTTTCCCAACTTTACAGCCAAGTAGAAATTAATATTATATATATTATTATTATTATCATACATATTATAAATAGGTTCGTTATTTCCTTTCAAATAATAGTCGTATGTTGTATATTTTTCTTGTGTGTTATATTAATCCCTATTGCTTTCTTCATCTAATCTTTTTAATATTAGATGTACAACTTTGCTTCCGCAGTTTTAAACACTTTTTTAACCATTAATAATATGTATCTTTTTGAATAAGTAATGTAAATTTTCCTTCATTGTGCAATATCTTTTATAAATAAGAAGACGAGTCAATACTTGTTTGTTCAATAGTCCAGTACCAATAGAACAATAAGTTCTTGATTTTGGAAAATGTGGCATTTTAATTTATTAAAAAGGGTACGGCTTGATAAATCAATAAAATATGTGTACGGGTGTAATGTAAAATATTCAACAAGATATTATAAAATAGATGACTATGTCATTGGATTAAATGAATCGCAGAAAGAGGTTAGTTCATTTTATTTCTTAATGATAAAAAAAAATAAAAAATGTCTCACAGTTATCATGTCGCAACAAATCCAGAATTTATTCGATTATTAATCGTTCGATATAAATCGAGATTGATTTTTCAAATGACATGCCATCATATTATCGAACTAGTGGCTCGCTCTAGCGGAAAAATGTAATAATTAATTGTTTAAATTGTTGATGCATTATAATGTGCCCCTTACATTAGACAATTTTTATATTTGTTATATACAACAATTGCCTAATGTAAGGGGCAATATAACATTGGGATGCATGCATATAACAATATCAACATACATCATGGCGTATATTAACACACATTTATTTTATTATTTATTGTAATGTTATATTTTTATTTATTTCTATAGCTTCGCAATTTGGTTTTTAATTTTGCTCAAAAAGAATTGGCTCCGAAAGCTGCAGAAATCGACAAAGAAAATAATTTTACAGAACTTAGAGTAAGCATTATTAATTTTTCTAAATAGTGTAACGTATTTTATAATACAAGTTAAATGAAACGCTGCATTTATACGTATTCTTTAGACATTTTGGAAAAAACTTGGTAATTTGGGTCTATTAGGAATAACAGCTGATACGAATTATGGGGGAACCGGTGGTTCGTATCTCGATCATGTAATAGTTATGGAAGAAATAAGTAGAGCATCTGCAGCTATTGGACTTAGTTATGGCGCGCATTCGAATTTGTGCGTTAATCAAATTAATCGGAATGGTACGAAAGAACAGAAGCAGAAATATTTGCCAAAGGTAAATTAATTAATTATTAAGAAAATTGATTAATTATATTAATAATTATAGTTATAAGTAATAATATAGTTGTGTAGTGGAGAACACATTGGTGCTTTGGCTATGTCAGAACCAGGATCTGGATCAGACGTCGTATCAATGAAATTAAAAGCCGAAAGAAAAGGCGATTGCTTTGTTTTAAACGGTAATAAATTTTGGATCACCAATGGTCCAGATGCTGACGTTCTCATAGTTTACGCTAAAACTAATCCAAGCGCTTTGAAACCACAACACGGAGTCACAGCTTTTATAGTAGAACGAGGAATGGAAGGTTTCAGTGCAGCAAAAAAATTAAATAAATTTGGTATGCGAGGATCGAACACGTCGGAGTTAATTTTCGAGGATTGTAAAGTTCCTGGTAAATCATCCGAAAAACTTTTCTATACAAATTCTAATCTCTAATTGATATAACAATTAATATACATATATAATCAATATTTTTGCAGTGGAAAATGTACTCGGTGAATTAAACAAAGGAATATACGTACTTTTCAGTGGTTTGGATTTGGAACGTTTGATCTTAGCAGGTGGTCCTGTAGGGTAAGAACAGAATATTTATACAATTTTTTAATGAAATTTCTTATATTGTTCATAATGTAAATGCACTTTAATTTTTTTTTTTAGTTTATTTCAAGCTTGTTGCGACGTATCATTCGAATATGCGCATACCAGGAAACAATTTGGAAAATATATATCTGAATTTCAATTGATACAGGTATCATCTACAATATATAAAAAAAAAAATGAACATTGCGAAATAATTTTAAAAAGCGTCTAATTAAATTTGTTGTATTAAAAAATTTATAGAAAAAAATCGCGGATATGTACACGACCCTAAACGCAAGTAGAAGTTACTTGTATTCGGTTGCAAGGTCTTGCGATACGGGCCACGTAAATCGCAAGGATTGCGCTGCAGTGATACTTTACTGTGCTGAGAATGCAACGAAGGCTGCTTTAGATGCTATACAAATACTTGGTAATTGTTTTTTTTGTTTTTCTTTTTTCAACTAACTTATTCCATAACATCTATGACACACCTGTTTTATGATTTCAATTTAAATTTTTTATTAATTTCAGGTGGAAACGGATATGTCAATGATTACCCTACTGGAAGATATTTAAGAGACGCCAAACTTTATGAAATTGGTGCAGGTACCAGTGAAATACGTAGAATAGTTATAAGTAAAGCAATTTCCGAAGAATATTTGCAATAATTCGGGATATCTCGTGAGAAAATTTGTGCAATCTTTTAAAAAAATAGTTGTAACAATTTGTAAAGTGAAAAATAGCACAAATAAATTATGGGAATATCAAAATTGTGTAAAATAATTATTTCGGTTTGACGTGGCTATTTTGACTTCAGCCACAATTAATAACGCTTTTTTAAATTAGTCTACTATAACAATTGATTTTATCTTTATAATTTTCTATCTATATATAAAATATAAATATATAAATAAATCAATCATTTGGGAAACATAACTTTGAATAATTAAAAAGATATTTTTTATACGAATATAGATGTACCCAAACTTTTTGTCTATAGTGTATACACAAACACTATTATTTTTACATACTTTTTTTTCAAGCTGATATAAAATATATATCATTAAAGATCATTAAAATAGATAGGAGAGTTTAATATCAGTAAAATGAATCATTTCGATAATGTTATATATTAAACAATCTATAGATGATTCTTAGAATCGTTCGGATAAATCTATACAAATGAGTCACTAGAACAGTAAAGTCTTAACACTCTGATTGACTAACCTTTCGCGCCATAGGTTGCTAATTTAAGGCGAAGTTTACGTATACAATAGATCCGTCTTCCTCCATCTTAGGTGCCTTACACCTTATCTCTCACTTCCTTTCTCTTTTCTATCTGAAGAGAGTTAGAATTAGACAGAGATAGATAGATAGATAGATAGATAGATAAAGAGAGAAAGAAGAAGAAGTGTAGCCAAAGTAATTTAATTGAAGGGACGCATAAGGGAGAAGCTTTCGAACGATTGCGGACGTCGTACGGTGAAAGAAGCACTTTCTCTTTTTCTTTTTCTTTCTTTTTATCTTTCTCTTTCTTTCATTGATTGTGAAAAGAATACAAGAAGAGACTAATAAGGATTTTCATTAATTAGCAAGAGAGTTAAGAAGATATGGCTCTTAAGTTCTCCATAGGCAATTATTACGAGACCTATGTGAGTATCTGACTCAATCCGGAATGTTCTTCAATTCTCTTACCTTGTTATAGTGTTTTAGTTTTTTTTTTACGATTTTATATACATAAGAAGAAAAAGTAAATCAAATATCTACAATGTTATATTTCCCCCTTTACCGCCATTTATCGTATGTAAGCCTTTGTATTTTTATTAAATGTGTAATAATATGTTTAATTAATTACGTATAATAATAATAATGTGAAGTAATAAATCCACCTACCCCCCTATTCCCTGTGTTATACTTATTTACAATTTCCACAATGAATTATTTAGCATCGATCATTGTACGTAATAAATTATCCTTTCTCGTTTATTTGATTTTATTTATACACACATGAATGATATGATATGATATGATCTGATCAACGATGGATAGAAAAACAGGTTATTAATATAAAAATTCTAATGAAAGGTATTAGATCATTGGTGAAAATCCCTTGAACGAATCGTACCACATGTTAGAATTGTATTGAAATAAAATTGACCGGGGGTTGTGATTTTGTTCGGAAGGAAGATCTTATGTGCGTGCGCGCGCAGATATATGTGTAAATATACATATATGTGTATGGTTTGTGCTGTTGCCGTCCGCCCCAACTCGTAAATGCCAGAGAAATGAGTGCAGGTCGAGCCAGAACAATACAAGTGGGATGCCAATTGAAAATGGGGCCAGAATAGCAGAGCCAGTCGTCTGTTAGTTGAGCAACGAGCTTTCGAGTTAGGCCTGTCAAAGTCAAACACCGACGTGAACCCACCTCAGTTACTCTTCTAAATTTTAGATTAAACGCGCGTATCTTATTCATAATCCAATCCAAATTCAAATTATTAATAATATCATCCTCTTTATATTTATTATTATTTTTATTTTATATTATTTTATTTTATTGGGTTTATTTTTAATCAAATATCCATTTTTGGAAAAAATTCTTTATATTCATTCTCTCTTCTTCCCTTATTTTCTTTTTCTTTTTCTTTTCTGTTTTGTTTGGTGTGTTTTTGTTTGTTCCGCGTTATCGCGTTTCATCGTGGATTTAAGGGATTAGAGCATGACGAAGAAGCAAAC